AGGGGACAGGGCGGGGGGGGGAGGAGACCAGCGCTACTGGCCTTGCCCCACTCGGTCGTTCCATCCACTCCGTTGCTGCCACCTTCAGGAAGCAAGGTAGGAGCTCCATCCCGTGTCCCCACCATCATGGCAGCGCTCCGCCACGCAACCACCTCCTGTCCAAACACTTCTTTGCATTCCAACTGGCTGTTTGTCAGCCAATCAGAGCATGAATAAAGCATTATGGACAGACGGGTAGATTAAGGCTTTTATAATATTAGAACTCTGGTTCTCTGACCCCCACCCCGGGAGGGGTTTGGCAGCAGACGCATGCGGAGCAACGGCAGTGCAGGGTGGTGGGTGGCGGCAGCTGCCACTGGGTGCTAGCCTTCCCCTGGCCCTTCCCCCACCCCCAATGTCTGGCCAGCTGGCTGGAAACTCCAGTTAGTTAAATGCCAAATAGCAGAGATTTTACTGTATTACCATAGACAGAGTTTGAATAAGCCACTTGCTCATGTAAACTTGTCTAATAATATTTTTCCAGTAAAGGGAAATTAACTTCTGCAGTATCCAAGCTTCTATGGTTGCAGAGAAAATATTCCAAATGCAACCTAAAGGAAATACTATTGTCTTTCTCTGCAAAGTCTATACTGCTACTGAGAGTTATATCTTCATTTTGATCAATAAACTATTTACAACTTTTACTAAAGATATTCAGAACCCCAGTGAGTTTCATTTTGCAGATGGCTGGGAAGGGGACAATAAAGTCCAGGTAGACAGACAGACATGAAAGGAGGTTAAATGAGAAGCTAGAGTACTAATCTATCCTTGCCTACCCTTGCAGGAGAAAAAATTCTTTGGGGTGGTATGGGAAGAGAATGATCCCTCCAGGAATCAGAGGGTTTTTAGGGGCTTCACATTTATCATATACTTGACATCTTCTAGCCAAAGGGTAGAAATCTACTGGGTTGAGGGACACCAGTTTGTTGGCACCTCAACTCTCTCAGCAGCTAGGAAAGACGGAAGCAGAAGACAAACTTGGCTTACTTGGACTGGTTAATACTGACTATGGAACTGTTCTTCCTTCATAATCAGTTTTTGGTTCATAAATTATATTCTCTGGCTATTAAATGAGTAGCATGCCTTGGAAATTTTAGATGCAAATGAAGGCATGTGAAAAACATGCAAAAAAGAAGGAGGGAAAAGATAAGAAATACACTGAAATACAAGAAAAAAAAAAGAACAGTGATTTTCAGGGAGTTACACTTTTAAGCACAAGCAGTTAAAGGATGTAAAAATACACATCTGATTTGTGTCTTCAAACTGCAGAAAGAACCTGCAGGGGAGGGCACTCAGACAGGAAAGTATTTACCAAGTGTCATCAGAAAATATTTCTTCCAAAAATCCTGCCAATAAGTATGCACACACCCCACTTAAATTTTACACAGAAAAATCCATAGATTCATGTGGAAAGACAAAGAGCAAACAAGCAAGCAAAGAAACAAAGAAACAAAACACCCCTGCATGTTACTGAGCAAGTAACAGTTGGAAAGAAAAGGGGGTGGAGGGGAAAAGAAGAGGAAAAGGAATTCTATTACTTTATTATTATTTAAGTTGGGAAGGCAAAGATACTACCTGGGTTATACAAGTGCAGGCCAGTCCAAAAGCATTATGGTACATCCTAGCATCTCTCTCCTCCCTCAGCTTTTAAATCGCTCATTCCCTAAAATCTGGAGCACAGTAATTTTAGAAGGCAATTGGGGGGAGTAACCCTTAAATTAGCCCATGGCAATGTACAATTTCCAACTTAAAAAACAAACAAACAAACAAAAAAATCACCCATCCTTCACCCACAAAATTCCAAATTTAGGGATGGGAGTATTTGATTTGTATTTTTCACTATTTTTTAAAATGGTTGATTATTCTTCTTCACTACTTTAGATAGATATTTTAGGTAAAACTCATATTTGGCCATGCAACATCTGTACATTCAAAATTTTACAGATCATTTAAAGTTAGAGCTTGGACAGCCTCATGCCCTGTTTCTAAACCACTCTATCTGGCAAAACTATCCAAACTAAACAGCCTTCAGAACTGTGCAGAACTGTATGAAGCAAAAACAAACTAGGAAATCAAACAAAAAAAATCTATAGCAGAACATTCTTTATGAAATTTTATCTACCATATCCACTGATACATCAAAGAGGTGATTCTTTTGTATGTTTATTAGATTCATCTGGTTCTAAAAATTTTAGATGCATCTGCAAGTAAAGCAGTAGGCTCCCAGTGTCATATTAATCCAAACACTAAAATCCTGGTATATATGATCAATAACACCTCCTATTAAATTAAATCGAATTATGACCTGTCAAATGATCTATATGGTAAACTATACCAAGGGTGACCAACCTGTGGCACTGGCCTAGGCAGCCTGTGTGTGGGGGGCACAGCAAATCAGGAAGGGGGCAAGCCGCACAGTAGCAGATAAGGCAGGGAGCAGAAAACAGAGCAACAGGTTGGGCGGAGAGTGCAGGTCATGGAACAGAAAGCAGAGCAGCAGATTAAGCGGGGAAGGGGATCAGAATGGCACTTAGGGAGGGTGTGGGCTTAATTTGTGGCATCCCTGCCAAAAAGGTTGGCCCCCACTGAACTACACAACTGAATTATGTCCAAGTAGCAAAAGGCTTCTTGAAGGAAGCCAAGATAAAGGAATAAATCCTGAATTCCTGAAATCCTGATTCTTAGAAAGGAGCCTGGAAAATGTGAGCAACTTTACTAACCAAGAAACAGCCAGTTTTCTTGTTGCACTGACAAATGTTCTGAAGAACAGGACAGGATGCAGAGCTGTCTGTCCTAAGACTTCCAACAACAAACTTTACAACAGCTCTTGGATAATTTTTCAAAAACACTAAATGCCAAATCCAAATAGGAACGGTGGCATGCATAGTGATGCTCAGAATTGCCACACAACATTTAGGCACCCAAGTCCTGAACTGAAATTCATGACACCAAATTCAGCATCTAAGCTCCTTATATACAACACAGAATACTAAGCATCTAAGAAGGAGATTCACAATAGGCAGCATACTGAGCTGAAGTAGCCAAAAGATTCACTCAAAAAAGGAGTGTGGGGGAAATATCATCTTTCTTTTAGATCTGGGCACCTCCCTATTATCTAGAATTTGGCGAATATGTGAGATTGGAATTCACAGTCCAACACCCCCTCCTGGACTTTAACTCTCTCTCTAGACCAGGGTGGGAAAAATGGTGGCTGTGGCAAGTGGCTAGACTCCATTTCCCAGTAGTGCCTGCCTGTGCTGCTCTGGCTAGTCTCCATGGAGACTCCAGGAGCAGCAGGGCTGTGACAGCATGGGGCTGTGATGGCTCTGCTCTCCCAGGGTCTCCGTGGAGACAGCCCAAGCAATGCTGGCAGGGCAAGCTGATGGGCGAGGAGCTGTTCTGGGGCCAGGATCTTACAGTAGTGACAGCACAAGGCTGGAGCCAAGGCAGAGCCACGATCCACTGCCTGCATGCCCCTGCCTGCAAAACCTACACTCATTGCAGGGGTGTGGGCAGCGGATCACGGCTCTTGCCCCAGTGCTGTCACTGCCACAAAATCCCAGCCCTGGCCCCAAAGCAACTCCCTGCTCAGCCATTCACCCTGCCAGTGTTGCCATGAAGACCCTGGGAGCACAGGCCATTGCAACCCTGCCTCTCCTGGAGTCTCTATGAAGCCTGGCTGGAGCAATGCAGGGAGGGGCTGCTGGGAAAATGGAGTCTACTGCAGGCCAGATCCAGACTGTGGTCTGCACTTTGCCCACCCCTACTCTACGCAAAGATATTTGGCGCTCACTTTTCTCCTAACCACAGTCACAGGTGTGGGCAAAAGTGGAAATTAGCAGCACCCACCTTTTATATAATAACCCTCAAGGTTTCAGCACTCACTCAGGAAGAAGGAACCATAGGTCCTTGGCCCCCTCATAATCCACACCTTATTTTCCCAGGATAGTGCCTTGACTACCAGGCAAAAATGTAACACTGGGGTGTCAGTGTGCAGAAAGTAATGAAAGGAGCATAAATTAAGAGCCTAGGAATTAAGACGCTCTCTGGGGATGAGCGAATCAGGATGCTAGTCAGGATTTCTCCCAACACTGGGACACTGGATAAATGCATTAAGCGGTCCTGGAAATAGGGACTCCACCAGCACCACCACTACTATGCTACAGATTCAAGATCAGTCCTTCTCCCTTGATTTATCTGGCCTCATAGATTTTGCTTTAGCAGGAGACATGAAGACAGCTCCCAGCTAGCCTTGCCACTTCTCACGGATGTGAGAAATGAAGACTTAAAACCCTTAAGGCTGAGAAGTATCTACAGATAGCAGATGTTCTGTGTAAGTGATCTAACTTGTAGGCTACTGCATATAGGTAGACATTACTACTACCATATACTCCTCCTCCAGGCATGATTTTTAACAAAAATGACTAATTGCCATGTTCTGTATTGAACTCAGAGGTATGAGCATGTTAGGAGACTCAGGCAGAGAGGTGTCTAGTTTGTAAATCCCACTAAGACATAAGGACAAAAGAGTTATCAAGATTCAGGCATCCAGGGAAACTTTTTGGTAAAAACTAAGGCCTCTATTAAAGTACAGTAAGTCACTTCCTACAAAGGCAGGTAAATGGCAGAACCTACTCAATACATTACTTGCATATAATGCACACTGCGGTGTTTGGGGGGGGGGAGGGGGGAAGAGGGGGTGTTGTATGCAAGACAATATGGTACTTCAAGCAAGCACACTAATTTTTATAAATAATTTTTTTAAAATACTGTTGAACAAAGCAGTCTTGTATAAAACTAATTTCTATATCTTTTAAACCTAAAATAACTGGTTCTCTGTAAACAGTACATTACAATTCAACCCATACAGTCCTATCAAGAAACAGACTGATAGATTTCCTATTGTACTTGAAGAATGTAAGATGGCAAAATACTTATTAAACAAATTTCTCTTAACAAAAAACTATGTATAGAAAGGGTCTGTTGATTTTAAGATTTACATATACTTACTGTCATCTAAAAAAGATGAAACATGTGATTGCGCCTATAAGCCCATGAGTGTACCAGGATAGAAGCAAACAGTATAGAAATTGACAGTCATTGTTTCCTCTGTTACAAGTTCTTTATTTTAAACAGTTTCCCTTTCACATGCAGTATACTTACTGGTATATATAGAAAAATCACCATTGAGGTTTTAACATACATAATTGGTTGTCTATTTCTTAAAAAGCCACTTTTGTCAATTCTTAAAAAGTTTTAGACTATGAAACTGTTCAGACACTTTACAGTAAACAGCCCACCCAACTAGACAAAAGGAAGGACTCTTTGTTCTCACCTGTCTTATTAGATCCTCTTTCTTTTTGACACCGCTTACTTTCTGCCAGACATGCTTTGGACAAACGACAAGCACTTATCTATGAATGACCTCAGAAATTCTCCCACCTTCACAAACACCTCGCTTTTCGTTTAAACATCTGTTCCCATTCAACCCAGCAGCTGCATTCTTACACCCAAGTAACAAATTCAAAAAGCCTCTGGTATGGCCACAGGCACATGGTATCATCATAGGTACTATGTCTACTTTAGTTTGATGTTTCTATTATTTTTTGTTCATTATTTCATGATTCCTTCCCTAAAACATTCTTAGTTATGCTGATGTTCAAACGTCAATATTTTTCCATTGCATCTCAAATGGCTTTAAAAAACAACTAATACTTTAATAAAGCACCTTGCTTTTTTCTACTTTTTAGCCCAATTCAATGTAAAGTTTAATGTCTATATCAATTTAAAGCCATGATCTGAAGCTTTCAAATGAGCCTAACTTAGTTTTAACATCTTTCATTAGAGACCCTCTCCAATCTGATTTTTCCTACTTACCACTTTTTATAAAGTCTACGTGTGCTTCTTTGTGATGGAGAAGCTCTACATCATAATTGGCAGATGTGTTAGCATGTTGTTCTTCCTTTAAATGGAAAAGAAATGCAAAAACAATCCTGTTTATTGCTTTAAGTAGAGATTTTTTGAATAATGATACTCTTCATTTTTTTCTTTCACTCCCATAGAAAATAAAGCTGCAAAGTGCACTGGATAAAGGATTACAATGCTGACAAAAGTATTTGTTCTCTGATCTATCTATTTAAAGATGTAGTGGCCTGTTTTTATATATATTTTTAAACTACAATATCCCTATTTATAAATAAGCCATAAATATCCACATTGCAAAACAAACAGATAGATAAAGGACAGGGACATGCATTCTAGTTTTTTCCTTCCTCTTTCTTGCAAAATGTAACAGCAAAGTGTGTGAGTATGAGCGTGATTCTAGTATCTTGTATCCAGAGGTAAAAGAAACTGAAACACCTTTTTCAGCTTCCTAAGCAGCCGCCAGTAATTCAATCCATCGATTACAAAACCAGTTGGCAGCGTCGTTTGTCATATCTGAGAATTTCTTCTTAACCTGAACTAATAAAAGCATTCACTTACAATAGTAAGTATCATCTTCTTGAAATTAAGGAATAAAAGCTATCTTAGTTTGAACTGCAGGTATAAAGTTAAAAAATGAATGTTCTGTCAAAGGACAGTGCAACTTTAAACAGCTGCAGCAGATTACCAAAAAATTGAAGAGTAATCATTGCAATTTGACTTAACTCCCCCCCCCAACATATTCTAGTACTAAAAAAAGCACAAAGGTAGGATGAAGAGGCTTAACCAGCAGTACACAGGCCAGTAAATTACAAACAATGTATTTGCAAACCTAAATAAATAAAATCACATTTATGCTATGATCCATGTTAAAGTTTCCCTAGGGTCATCCAAGCAAATCACTTTTTTAAAAGTATACCACCTCTTTAACCTACGAAATCCAAGGACTGGTACTTTTCTTTCTTTCTTTCTTACTTTTGAGTATAAGCACTAGCTAGTAATATTAGGACTTCATTTTTGGTGCATTCTTTCAATCTGTTTATAAACAGGCTTACTGTGCTTCAGGTCTGGCAGCAAAATACAATTTAAACTGGGACTCCTATTTATTAAAAGCCATTTAGGATTTTTAGTTGCATTTATCTTCATGGCCACTGGGATGGCTATCAGTTAATTTCAAAGAAAAGTGAACAACTAGCAACATCTGTAGCTTCTAAAGAAAAAGCTGAATTTAAAACCTTTCATTATTAGCTGCACTTGTAAACCCACCCCTCAAGCCTCCCATCAATTTATAAACCTTAATTAAAAACCATTATCTTCTGGTCAAAATTTAGTTACATACACCTTTATGTTGGGTAGGCATGAAAATTAGACAAAGGAAAAAGACTCATTAGGCCACTAAAGTGCATAAAGTTCAAGAATATCTAATGAACACAACAATAAAAAGACAAAAGAATCACAGACAAAAATAACTAGAGGAAAACAAAATCAGTTATATAAAATAACAAACGGAACAGAAATAACACTTGTATTGCTGAATCTGAATTGTCAATATAGCAATACAACATTTTGTTCTGTGATCTTCCTTTTAAAAATTTACTAACCTGGTCACAGACATTGAATGTGGGCTAATAAAAAAAAAAAAACAGAGAATATGATATGGAGAGAAAAACAATATAAAAATTCTATTAAAATAAATACTAAATTTTCCAAAAAAAGTAAAAGTTGATGATGTAGCTACTTAATGTGAAGCTATACCTACAATCTTACCTTCATAGGAATATTGGTTATTGTAGTTGAAGCCAGATCAAAGTGCTGCTGTACTAAAACATTTAGTTTGGTAGCAAGATGCCGTCCAGCACGGACACTATGCACTTCACTGGTTAAGACAGATGAAAGCTTTTAATAAAAAATAAAAAAAAAGATGCAGAAAGCATGGTGTAAGTGGATCAGTTTTTCAGAACTTTAATCTACAAAAGAGTTGCACCAAACATAATATAAGACTGGGTATGTATAATATTTCTTCAGAAAGAAAAAGATTAAAAATGTGTGTAAAGTCATCGGAGGTACTGCAATGCTATACAGTTCAGTCCGTCTTAATTTAGTCAGTCAGAAGTGCACTCAATACACCGAGTTGTTGGCTAGATGGTTCACAGTTAACAGGAGTCAGTATCACACATAAAACTGGACTCCAGGATGTCCCTAGTCCTAGTCTCAGTTTGGAGACTGCTTTGTCATAGGGCCTGAAGTCCTCTCTAGCTTTGTTTTCCAAGTAGCATTTAATGCACCTACCTGACTAGTGTTATTTCATATATGTGTTTTTTATCATGATCAGGGATAATATTTTTTTTTATATATTCTGAGGTAGATAGATATATTTCTGAACTGATATAATGAACTATGAGATTGACATGTCTAATTTTCCTTGGTTAGTGACACTGATGTGGGCCTCTGAAGTAATGATATCCTAAGAACTATTTTAGAGACAAAATTTAGGATACAATAAGAGTCTGATCTATTTATCTCAGAATCTTTTACTATATCCTAAAGTGTCACTAGCTTCCTAACTAGAGGTGTACCGATACATCAGTCCAATATCAGATTGACACTGATACAAAGAAAATGTACTACATCGGAAATCAACCATATCAGGCCGATAATTTGGCTGATGAATGGCCTGTGCATGCGCCAGTTGGCAGCTTGGAGAACTGTGTCCAGCTGGTAATTCTGGTGTTGTGAAAGCGGGGGGGGGG